ACAGATAGACTTCATGTAGCTTTGCGCGAAATTAAAAAAAGAAACAACCAAACTGTATCCTAAACATTTTGTACGTATAATCATACGCCGTTTAGTTTTAGTGAGTAAGTTGTATATTTCTTACCCACCTTATAAATAATTGGTCCCTTTAGTAGTAACGTTTCGTTCGAGATTAAACTGAACTTTCTCGTCTACTACTCATCAAAGGTGTTTCACAGGAGGAGCTACATTCTTCTTCTGTCTCCAGCTGCTGCCCCCTGAAGTCAATCTTAGCGTACTCTGTCGGTGGTAGCTGTCGTCTAACCAGTGAAGAAGATTGAGTCGTTCTAGGTAAGGCTAACTCAGCATACGTCACATCTTCCGGCTAAAGTAGGGTTCATAAGAATTAAGCTAGAAAAGCATTTCCATTACACCTTTAAAAAAGAAGCAACAAAACGTACGAAGTTGATATAAATAAAGGAAATTATAAAACGGTTTTCTAATTGTTTAAAATTACTATAAGATCAACTATTGTGTGATCGTATTTAAGTTGTAGTGAGACTAATAATTTGTTTTATGCTGATTCTGACTCACTTTACTCAATCTAGGACCTTTGCTTGATTGGTTGATGCTCATTCTAGTTGGAGATTGATTGGAATAAGGACTTCCAACCCTGTCTGCTGGTAGGCCAATTGGTAGAGGACTGGTATAGCTGGTTTCCATAATTAAATGACCAGATTTGGAACCCGGAGTACTGTAGCACGATTCCATGGTACTGTTCAGCTGTAGACACCCTTGTTCAGAACAATCTGTAACGAATCAGGCATCTTAGGAGAAGTTTCCACAATAGTATAGTATGAGTGTATATGGTTTTATGACACATGTTCTGCCCACTGAAAATAATTAATTGTTTACAAAAAAATGTTTTGTTATAATTGGAAAGTTTATGATTCCTTTTTTACAAGATTGTGTACACAAAAATACCTATCTACCTGTTAATATAGTTAACTCTCCCGTTACCTGGATATGAAGCCTTGCAGAATGTTCGTGATGGGATTATGTCTGGACCTTTGTCATCCAAGTCCATCATGTCGTCAATATCTTTCTTGAGTGGCATGTGAGACCTGAAGAGATAAAACACTGATTACGATCTGTTCATAACTTTGAAAATCAAACTGATAAACCTTAATATCAAAACTTGGATGTCCGATCTACACTCTCAGAAACATTGAAAGCATGAAAGTGAATGGGAACGGGTGTCCAATATATGCTTTTTAGTGTTAATTAGTTAGTACATTTTTAGAGAATACTTATCTAAAGTCTTATGCTGCTCAAGCTTATGTTATTCAAACTCAGTTCCATAATTGGCCACCCCTCTTAGATTTACTGACATAATGACACTGATATGTCATTCAAACTCAGTTCCGTAATTGGCCACCCCTCTTAGATTTACTGACATAATGACACTGATATGTCATTCAAACTCAGTTCCAAAATTGGCCACCCCTCTTAGATTTACTGACATAATGACACTGATATGTCATTCAAACTCAGTTCCAAAATTGGCCACCCCTCTTAGATTTACTGACATAATGACAGTGATGTAAAATCTGTTTGTGGTTAAACACAAATCTACACAATGAGGTATCTGTGCTGTGCCCTACAAGAGTATATAAACCCGTTTTGTAGAGTTGTAAGTCCTCACACTTACAGTTGTGCCACTGGAGGGCCACTGACGTAAGTACGAAATATTAATGGTTGGTCAATATCTCGGACACTACCTTTGTGAAAATTGTCGAAGACAGTTGGAGTTCTGAACGATTTTAAAGTTACTTCCATTATGATTAACCATACTGTTCAAGATCACTGATCGACACAAAACAAACAATCAAGTTTTGATTTACTACCAACAATAAAATAACTAATTGGGTAGTCTACTTGTGGATCAGTTTATGGAATTACGATACTAGAATATGGGTTCCATTCCCCACGGTGTACAAAGTGCAGATAGCCCATGGTGTAGCTTTGGGTAGTCTACTTGTGGATCAGTTTATGGAATTACGATACTAGAATATGGGTTCCACTCCCCACGGTGTACAAAGTGCAGATAGCCCATGGTGTAGCTTTGCACTAAAGAAAGCAACAACAACAAAAAGTTGGGTAATTAATCTGTAATATCCGAATGTAGTCTATAAGTTTAACATATGTGCATAGTTTTAATTTGTTATTGCTAGAGGCCGGATGATAGACTTATTGCTTAGTTTAACATATGTGCACAGTTTTAATTTGTTATTGCTACAGGCCAGATGAGAGATTTATTGATTCTTCAATTCCAATACGAACAACAGACGTTTCGCCTATACAAAGTATGTGGAGCGGTATAAGTATCATAAGATACTACGTTAGCACGAAACTCACGTAATACGACGGTGCAAACAGACTGGAAAACAAGTGTCAGGAAACTGAACATCTTAGTCAGCAGGGCACGACGTTTAGTGGCAATTCTAAGAACTTACGAGTGAAACTAAAGAAGAACGTGTAATATTAGTTCAACCGTACTACGTCTAAGTTATTTTATGATATCTTAATAAGACTGATATAAATCTTATGTAACTTACATTCATTTATATACCCTGTATTGTACTATTTTAATATTTTATGATATCTTAATAAGACTGATATAAATCGTATGTAACTTACATTCAATTATATACCCTGTATTGTACTATTTGAATATTTTATGATATCTTAATAAGACTGATACAAATCTTATATAACTTACATTCATTTATATACCCTGTATTGTACTATTTTATGATATCTTAATAAGACTGATACAAATCTTATATAACTTACATTCAATTATATACCCTGTATTGTACTATTTTATGATATATTAATAAGACTGATATAAATCTTATGTAACTTACATTCATTTATATACCCTGTATTGTACTATTTTAGGATGATATGTTTCGAGTTATTATTATTGGTATTCTATACTATCAGAAGTAAAGCTTATAATTATTTCTGAAACATATAAGACTTGTTTATAATATTGGTAAAAATAATGTGAATACAAATATATCATTACAAACACGTACTTGTCTTCATCTGCTCGATCTGTCTGAGCTGTTAAAAGAAAAATAAAGTTAGAAATATATATATATATATATTGAGATTCTTCAGAATAATATATTTCTTATCTAAGATTTTACGTTTACGATACTCTTATTAACTGTGATAGAGTAAATTGCCGATTACAAAACAACAAAGTAAGAAAAAAACTTAAAAATTGTAGTTGTAAATTGGTTTCTGTAAAATGTAAGAAGAAAAAAATGGACAAACATTTGAGAGTAAGAATTCACAAATTACTTTGTGTTATCGGTATATACATTCGCTCTCCTCCCAAATTTAAAACAGTTTGTTTATGATCAGAAGATTGAAACAAAAGATGCAAAGTGATTTATAAAATGTATTTCTAACCCAATCAATTTTAACTGAACATATCTTTACTATTTAAAAAACAAAACAAAAGTGTTTTACCTCTGGACTGTTGTTTTCTATTCTTCACTTTCAAGACTATTACAACAACAACGGTTATGAGGACAAGAGTAGCCACGATAGCAATGAGTATGGTGAACAACGGTCGAATTATTACGTGGTTCTGAGGGTGACCTTAAGAGAAATGAGAAGAGTTTCGTATATTTGATTTTTTCTTTCAAAACAGAAACCTAAAAAATCTCTATCTATATTCAACATGTTTATAAAACTACAGAGGATAATAAGATTTAAGGGGATTTCTGCTAAAGAGTGGGGAATTGTTATCTGACATTTTTATTAAACTTATTACATATAAGGATGTAAACTAAGAATGAGGAATGCAATGTATAAAACTAACATTGTGTCATTCAAAAATATCACTTGAGAAACTAAATATTATAAAATTTAAAATACAAATAAAATATTATCACTAAGTAAATGTATTAAGAAGTGATATGACCACTATATAAACTATAATATTTCTGATCTATAAATTTTGCTTACTTTTAATCAGAATATATATATATATATAATTTTCTTTACAAAGTGAGTTTTTAAAGCCAAATATTTTGGCTGGATATATATATATTAACTCCAGCTGTTAGAAATACACTGCTGTTTTCGTGATTCATTGTCTCGTTATTGACGTTTTTATTATTATTAGTGTCGCTTACTCTTGGGCCCGGCATGGCCAGGTGGTTAGGGCACTCAACTCGCAACCTGAGGGTCGCAGGTTCGAATCCCCAAACACGTTCGCTCTTTCAGCCGGGGGGGGGGGTCGTTACACTGTGACGGTCAATCCCACTATTCGCTGATAAAAGAATCGCCCAAGAGTTGGCGGTGGGTGGTGATGACTAACTGCCTTCCCTCTAGTCTTACACTGCTAAATTAGGGACGGCTAGCGCAGATAGCCCTCGTGTAGCTTTGCGTGAAATTCAGAAATAAACGAACGAACAGACACAAGATGCTGATCGTATTAACTTAGTTTTTGTGAATAAGACTTATAAGCAGAGATGCACGTGCTGACTCCTTCAACATTATTTGTTGGATAAGCTCTGATTGTCTGCAGTAAAATTAATTGAACATTTTCTATGCGAAATTTCCTACCAGTATCATTGTAGGAAGGTCAGGCAGCTTGGACTTCTCTTGTGTAGCAGAATTTGTTTTTTAAAAGTACAAGTTAAAATATAGTCTCTACTGTAAAAAAATTGAAAAGATATTCGAAAATGCAATTTTTCTCATTGAAGAAATGATCACATAAATGTGAAAAAATATGATGCCTTGAAATGAAAAAAACTACCATCAGATGGCGGTAAATAATTCATAACACCACTTCTTCATTGAACGTCTCATGTGAAATTTAGTCAAAAAAAGTAATGTTAAAATAAACCGAGTTAAGTAGATTAGATCGGGGTGAGACTCCTGCAGAAAATAATAAGTGGGCTGTGTAGATTTATCCAACGCCCAGATAAAATATTACAATTCAAATCTTACAAAAACTGCTATTCAAGGCAAATAACAATGTACGTAGTTGTATGAAAAATGGCGTAGTTCTGAATAAGGGTGGGTGGACGGCGACCACTCACTCTCGAGTCTATCACTGGATTCGATATATAGATAATACACGATGTGTTTTTATGGTAGAAAGTAAAACTAAACTGTTCAAGTCTGTCATAGTGTTCTTCAACATTTTTCTTATTCAACTCCTTATATGTATTTTAATCTCACTGGCTCACTACATTTAGTTTCCTTGTGACACAGCGGTATGTCTGCGGATTTATAACGCTAGAAACCAAGTTTCGATACCCGTGGTGGGCAGAGCAAAAATAGCCCATTGTGTAGCTTTGTGCTTAATTACAAAGAAACTGTACAATGTACAGAATTCTACCCTCCTTTACTCAAACTGCTTGTAATTTAAGAATTTGAGAAAGTCAGAGTTTTCGTAGACATTTTTTTGTAAGTAAAAGCTCGAGACGAATGTCACCATATCATGATAATTGATGATCGTTTCTTGGTTCTCGCCACTAGTTTGAGTTTCATCTATCAATAGCTCTTTGTGGTGATGCTGCGCGACAACGTGATATGTGTCAAGCATGTAGCAGAGAACGTAAACACGAGAAAATCAATACTATAACGCATAATATTTGTGTAATCCAGGTAATTCCTCTATTTTACAGCACGTATAACAAACTAAACTTACCACAAGTTGAAAACGGAGACGCTGTGTGGTTTGGAAAGACGTTCACTCTCCCGTGTTTTACCAGCATAATTTTGTTTAGAAAACATTGTACGTGTTTTTACGTTATCAGTCACTTCTCCAATTTCCTACGTTGTCATTGGATCAAAAACTCACCAGACGGAAAGATGTTTTTCCATTAACAAATAGACGTACCATTTGTACCAATAATTAAATCAACCCAGTTATTAAACGGCCGTATACACATCTGAAAATTGGACCACATCAGTGCTTGTTATCGTAATTCAAGGGACGATATTTTCTACTCATTAAAGACAACAGTCTGTTTCATTCACAAGATACATTTATTGGAGCTATATTAAAGGGATAAAAGATATATTTCTTAATAAAAAAACGTAACTGTAGTCTGTAGATTAAGTAGTTCAGTAGGTACTCTGTAGACTGTACACTCCACGTGCACACGAGACCTTATCATATAATCTCTTTCATACACATAGAAGAAATACCACGTGAGCAGTGCAGGTACAAACTGACAATAAAGCACATTTGGTACGTGACAATTATGTTCAAAACAACATATATCCAGCTGGTCAGCATTCCGTGACAAATATAAACACTAGTGGTCATATTTTTCATGCACGTCCGAAAAACCCAATGGCATTAATTTACCATGGACGACCTATCTGGCCTTTAATAATAATTTACTTTAAACATAAAAACGACCATTTTTGTCCAGTGAAACATTGTATGTTTTGCATTAAAAAAATCTGGTTTCACTATGTTTTAGTTTTCAAACTTCACATAAAAGGACTTTTCTTCGGACTGAATTTTAAGCAAACGAACTAATTTCTTTAATTTCTGACAGTAGAGTACACTGACTGTGACGGATTTATTATTATATATTTATTTTAATATCAATGTTTGTTTTAATTAAATTTATATTTAGAAATATACATAACTTGTACTGATAAATGTGTATTGCAAAACTCCCGCCTATTATCTAATGTTATAGAAGATTCTCGAGTGTAAGAATCAACAATATATGTGTGTATGAAAACGCTAGTGTTAGCGTCAGTATTGTTACGTAAAATTGAAATTTCGAGAAACTCCCCACACGCCTATAAATATAAACAGTATCTATTGTTGGGTTGCTGTATTTAGTGTGCTATAAACTTCGTAAGCTATAACTGTGATTAACACTTATTAATCGGGAAACTTTATATATTTGACCAGGAACATTTATAAATTTCGAACATTACAAACCATTTAACTTCAGTGGATTCACATCGGACATTGGTAGTTTTATGAAAACATTATATAACTTCAGCCGTAAAAGGAACTCGACCTGAAATCGGCGAGTGATCAGTGAATTTCACAGAACTAGCTAGCTCCCTATTTAGTGAATCGTACCTACGTCAGCTCCAAATTAACTTGCTCATCATTAACCATCGATAAGACATCAAGGAAGTTCGAGACTAGAAATAAGACTTTATATTGCTTGTAAGTTTGTAAAACCTTTGTTTATAAATCATTGTTTATAATAACCATTTGTAATAACCGTTATTGTAAGTTGTATTATTGTTTCTATATTAAAATATATTTGTATTAAAAAAGAAAACTGTGTGTATCAATCTTGTTGGCAATATTATAAATTGGATATATATCGGCATTTATTTAACTACCAAATCGAAATTACAATTTAACTCAGTTTTAGGCTTTTCGAAATTGTAATAAGTAAAACATGACACACACACACACATGTCTACTTAAAATATTGGAAACAACTAAAGGGTTGAATATGAAACTTAGAAATTCAACTGACAATCACAGTTCACATAATAAAGTCGTTGTGGAACGGAACGTATCACAACTACATTTTGACATGGCTCGGTGCTTTTAGGTAGTGTGACGCCACCGAAGATTGATCACTTTGGGGAAGTTTATGTACCAGTTAGATTAGAAAGGTGTATTAATATCCGGAATTTAGAACTTACAAGACGAATTTATCTCTGTATTTCATGGGTTTAGAAAAAAGGAATATAGATCAACTTGGAGCACCAAAACCAACCTGAAAGAGACTTGCAACAAATCGTACCTCAGTCGGATTTATATTTGGTAACGAGGTCAACAGAGTATGGGGGGTAAGGCGTCTATTCATTTCTTCCGAACATTCATCGTGTATCTCAAGCAGCTGGTGAATGGAACGAGTCTTTACGATATCCCATATGAAGACATACCCGTAAAATCGCCGGACTCGGCATCTATGGATTACTGTGGGATCAGGCTGCTAAAACCCTAGTATATTACACTGATTATGGAAAGCTATCAGTAAAGGGTGATGTGCTTTTAACACGACAACCTTATCATAGAGGGTCTCGTAATACAAACTATGTTGTAGTGCTATTGTCAAGACGCGCTGTTGTCAGAAAGAGGATGACATGGACTATAACGATGTGGTAATACTCCAAAATCGTATATGAAGTTTAAGTACTAGTGTTCCTATTATCACTCGGAAAATAGGGCAGTTGCTTTGTCACCAACTGGTGAAGTGATAAGTTCTGATGTTCTTCAAAATGAATTTTCTCTTTCATTTTCTGCTACTATAGATGATGGCTTCTGCTACCGAAGGTTCTAGCATGCTTTCGAAAGGTTCATCTTGCTTCAGGGAAATATTTATCTGGTTCAGCATTCATGTTTCACATGCAATTACAGAATGTTAGTAAACGTAACATATGCAAGAAATAAGAGACGTTAATCAGACTCTATAAGCGCATATAAATGAGAAGATGCTTAAAGTTCAGAGAAACACAAGCTGGCCTAGTTATGAACAAACCTTGAACAACAAAGACACTAATTAAATCTATAACAAATTAACAAGTAGAAAGACAGTACCCAAGTCTATAACCATAGAGTCACTATTTAATGCTTTTATGAATGATACTAGGTGATTTTTATACAAGATATTACTATTTAACATTTATATTACAGGGCTGGGTGTATCCTAGTGATTAGCTGCCCAGATAAGAGTAGCCAATCCCACTATTCGGTAAAAAAGTTGAACAAGACCCTTGTGGCAGCTGGCTGGCTACCTTCTTTCAGGTCAATAATTCAAAATTAAAGACAGTTATCTCTGAAGCCCACAGTATTCTGGCCTGAATATTTAGCTCTCGCGTACATAAGGTGGCGTTCAGGTACTACATACTAAATATGTAACCATAGAGCAGCCATCTAACGTCTACATTAACACATAAATAGCTAGAGAAACACCATACACCGTCTAGTTTTATAGTCATTGCAAAAAAAAGGGCATTATACAATTACTTTTTGCACAAATCTGTATCAAAGATTTGGTAAAACACGAGCTAATCATGTATGCACAAGAAACAACATGTAGAAATAATAGCTGTAAAGACAATATTTCATTTGTAAACCTAATTAACCAGCTTCTGTATGCATAAGTCTACTAAAACAAAGAGACACTAACTAGTCTCTATATGAATAAATAAGTAAAATCAAGCTAATTATTTTATGAATAAATGTACTAAGGTCTTTCGTCTCCTCCTTTCACCACTGGTGTGTTTTTGTGTAGTGGACAAGGTTATGCAAAAAGTATTTGTGCAAACGCTATGTCAGTAATTTATCACCATTATTTGCGTCTCGTGGAGGAACTGGGATGTTGACTGGATGTTTTATCTTAATTTAATGGAGTCATACCTTATTGGATTCCGGTCCATAGAGAGATGATATTTTCTATTGGTATAGTTGGGTAAACACATTGATTTCATAATATTCAGAGTTTATTTTAACACTTTGATTGACTTTCCGAATGTTAACCTTACCATTTTTAGACACAACTTGCAATTGACATTTTTGGAATGTTATATTACTGAGATGATTAAATGAAACTGTTCAAAATGTGCAAGAACATAAATAGACGAATGTTCGTCCAAAGTGATTAATTACGTCAAGTTTCTTCCTAGTGACTCAGCGGTACGACTGCAGGTTTACGACAATAAAAATTAGGTTTCGATACTTTGGAAAGTCATGTAAAGTAATACTCTCCAAAGAAGCGGGCAAATTTAGGACGTCATCTGCCTTTGAAAATCACAGTACTTCAAGTGAATTGCGAAAAGAATGTTTGGGATTTTAGCCTTTGTAGCTACTGGCCACTGAGACTGGTTACTCAACGTGCAATATGTTAGTATTGGTCATGTATAAAGGACGGCAATGTGTGGTTACTCCTATAAATATAGATACTAACCAAGGACAACAATGTGTGGTTACTCCTATAAATAGAGATACTAACCAAGGACAACAATGTGTGGTTCTCCTATAAATAGAGATACTAACCAAGGACAACAATGTGTGGTTCCACCTATAAATAGAGATACTAACCAAGGACAACAATGTGTGGTTACTCCTATAAATAGAGATACTAACCAAGGACAACAATGTGTGGTTACTCCTATAAATAGAGATACTAACCAAGGACAACAATGTGTGGTTCCACCTATAAATAGAGATAGTAACCAAGGACGAGAATTTGTGGTTCCACCTATAAATAGAGATACTAACCAAGGACGACAATGTGTGGCTCACCTATAAATAGAGATAGTAACCAAGTACGACAATGTGTGGTTACATATATAAATAGAGATACTAACCAAGGACGACAATGTGTGGTTACATCTATAAATAGAGATACTAACCAAGGACGACAATGTGTGGTTACATCTATAAATAGAGATAGTAACTAAGTACGACAATGTGTGGTTACATCTATAAATAGAGATACTAACCAAGGACGACAATGTGTGGTTAAATATATAAATAGAGATAGTAACCAAGTACGACAATGTGTGGTTACATCTATAAATAGAGATACTAACCAAGGACAACAATGTGTGGTTACTCCTATAAATAGAGATACTAACCAAGGACAACAATGTGGGGTTCACCTATAAATAGAGATACTAACCAAGGACAACAATGTGTGGTTCACCTATAAATAGAGATACTAAACAAGGACAACAATGTGTGGTTACATCTATACATAGAGATAGTAACTAAGTACGACAATGTGTGGCTCCAACTATAAATAGAGATACTAACCAAGGACGACAATGTGTGGTTACTCCTATAAATAGAGATACTAACCAAGGACGACAATGTGTGGTTCTACCTATAAATGAAGATAATAACCAAGGACGACAATGTGTGGTTCACCTATAAATAGAGATAGTAGCCAAGGACAACAATGTGTGGCTCCAACTATAAATAGAGATACTAACCAAGGACAACAATGTGTGGTTCACCTATAAATAGAGATAATAACCAAGGACGACAATGTGTGGTTACATCTATAAATAGAGATAATAACTAAGTACGACAATGTGTGGTTACATCTATAAATAGAGATAGTAACCAAGGACGACAATGTGTGGTTCCACCTATAAATAGAGATAGTAACCAAGGACGACAATGTGTAGTTACACCTATAAATAGAGATACTAACCAAGGACGACAATGTGTGGTTACATCTATAAATAGAGATAGTAACTAAGTACGACAATGTGTGGTTACATCTATAAATAGAGATAGTAACTAAGTACGACAATGTGTGGTTACATCTATAAATAGAGATACTAACCAAGGACGACAATGTGTGGTTCCACCTATAAATAGAGATAGTAACCAAGGACGACAATGTGTAGTTACACCTAGCAACTGATTCATTCGACAGGAATCGAAGTTTAATGATGAATATTAGACGAACGGCAGCAGCAACAACAAACATTTGACACGTGTGTGTGTACGATAATAAACATTTAATTCTTGAACATTTCATACTGTACATATTCCGTCTTGAGCAAGCTATACTGAACAAGGTAAAACGTTAGGATACAAAAAGTTCTAAAGTCCCAACATTTTGTAAAGTGGAATTAAGATTCATGGTAGAAGTATAAAGTCAATTAAAAATAAACAACAAAGAATAATGCAATAATTCAGAACAGACATAATTGTAGTGAGGTTGTGTTATCATTTAAAGTTGGGAGTTCATTTACAATAGATAGACTTTCTTTAATCAAAAGTTTAATATTGGATGATCAAGATGAGATGACTTTAAAATTCGTAATCAAAACTGGGTGGTTGTTGTTTTCACTATGTGTGCGAATTGTGGACTCTGTTGGATTTGATAGTTTTTTACCGGTTGTTCTTGATACTCCCATATTTTCGCAGGTGTAGTTGGGGCATAGTTTTATACCCATAATTACAGACATTAGTCAATTTTTATATGCATAAACCTCTTAAAAGAGAGAAAGTAAAACATGCTTACATGTATTGTTACTTAGTTTGTTACCAGAGCTATAATGTGATACACATTGAGATGCTAAATATAAGATATGAAGTCTGATACACATTGAGATGTTAAATATAAGATATGAAGTCTGATACACATTGAGATGTTAAATATCTGATATGAAGTATGATACACATTGAGATGCTAAATATAAGATATGAAGTATGATACACACTGAGATGCTAAATACTAGAGATGAAGTATGATACACATTGAGATACTAAATATAAGATATGAAGTCTGATACACATTGAGATGCTAAATATAAGATATGAAGTATGATACACATTGAGATGCTAAATATAAGATATGAAGTATGATACACATTGAGATGATAAATACCAGAGATGAAGTATGATACACATTGAGATAATAATACCAGAGATGATGTATGATACACAATGAGATGATAAATACCAGAGATGAAGTATGATACACATTGAGATACTAAATACCAGAGATGATGTATGATACACATTGAGATAATAATACCAGAGATAAAGTATGATACACATTGAGATAATAATACCAGAGATGAAGTATGATACACATTGAGATAATAATACCAGAGATGAAGTATGATATACATTGAGATACTAAATACCAGAGATGATGTATGATACACATTGATATAATAATACCAGAGATGAAGTATGATACACATTGAGATACTAAATACCAGAGATGATGTATGATACACATTGAGATGATAAATACCAGAGATAAAGTATGATACACATTGAGATAATAATACCAGAGATGAAGTATGATACACATTGAGATAATAATACCAGAGATGAAGTATGATACACAATGAGATGATAAATACCAGAGATGAAGTATGATACACAATGAGATGATAAATACCAGAGATGAAGTATGATACACATTGAGATACTAATACCAGAGATGAAGTATGATACACATTGAGCTACTAAATACCAGAGATGAAGTATGATATACATTGAGATACTAAATACCAGAGATGATGTATGATACACATTGAGATGCTAAATACCAGAGATGAAGTATGATACACATTGATATAATAATACCAGAGATGAAGTATGATACACATTGAGATACTAAATACCAGAGATGAAGTATGATATACATTGAGATACTAAATACCAGAGATGATGTATGATACACATTGAGATGACAAATACCAGAGATGAAAATCATCTTACTCTTATCCATGAGTTTTTCTGCTGGTCTGAGTGTTGTGGCTGATATGATTACTGGTTCACTGCGACCTTTTGAATTAGCAGCAAACACAAGAAGTCTTAGGGCAGTTCCTGCGGGAAGTCCTCTCACAATAAACATGGGTATCGGGGACGTTATATTGGCCTGCAACTTGCCATGGCCCACACTGAACACCTCTAGAATGAAATCTGCACTCAGTCCTCCGTTGTTCCCTTCCACACATTCTAAGTATATCAGACTTTCCGTCTGATTCAAAACTGAGCAATTGTACGGAGACCTCTGGAGGACCTGTAATGTAATTAAATGAACATATTAAAACTTGTTGACAGGTATACCTTACGTTAGGATAGAAGAGATAAACAATTTTCTTTGGAATATGTGAAAACAATAACGAATAGACCACGCCAATGTCATATAACAATAAAGTTGACTTTCCTTAATAGACCACGTCAATGTCATATAACAATAAAGTTGACTTTCCTTAATAGACCACGTCAATGTCATATAACAATAAAGTTGACTTTCCTTAATAAACCAAGTCAATATCATATAACAATAAAGTTGACTTTCCTTAATAAACCAAGTCAATATCATATAACAATAAAGTTGACTTTCCTTAATAAACCAAGTCAATATCATATAACAATAAAGTTGACTT